TCCCAGTTCCCCTCCCTCCTTCCCCCCAGCAGCAGAGGGGGACAGGGGATGGGGTTTAGAGTCACTTCACAGGCTGGTGGTTCCTGCCGCACCATCCTCCTCAGGAAGGATTCCTTACAGTCCTTTCCTGCTTCCCCACGGGGTGCCTCCCATGGGAGAGTCCTCCACGAACCTCTCCTTCACGAGTCCTTCCCACGAGGTCCGGAGCAAGCTGCTTCCAGCGTGGGCTTTTCACAGAGTCACGGGCTGCTTCAGGAACCGCCAACTCCCCTGGCACTGGGGTCTTCCAAAGCTGCACAGAGTCCACAGGCAGCAAATCCACTGGCCACAAAATCCAAGTCCAGTGGCCAAGTTCACCCCTCCTGGTGCCTTCAGTGAATGTTCCACCACGTTCCTCCATGAGTGCAGGGGGACAGCCTGCCATCTCACCATGGGTTGCAGGGAAACTCTTGCTAGGGCACCTTCTTCCTCTTCCTCCTCACCAACCACCAGCACTGCTCTCCTCCTCCTGCACAGCTCTTCTCCCCTAAGTGCTTCTCTGCTCAGGTGTTATGTTTATTCTTTCGTATGTTAATCGCTGAGGCGCATCTATTGTCCCTCTAATGGCTCTTTGGCTGGGGTTTGGAGCTGGAGGAGCTTCTTACCCGAGCCACTCCTGTGGCCCTTCCCCCGCTACCAAAAACCCCACCAAACCAGAACACTGTCTTTATCTCAACCCACAAATTTTTCTCACTTTTGCCCTTCCAATTCTCTCCACTGTCCTGCCTGGGTTGGGGGGAAAATGAGCTTGTGACTGGGTGGGAATTTAAGTGGCTGGGATCAACCTGCCACATCTTGTTCAATTTGAATTTTTTTTAACTTGTTTTTTATAGATCACAAGAGCATCCAGGTCAACAAATGCACACCACTGGCAGTATTGCTACCACATCAATATCAAGCAGTAATACCTCAACACCAACTTTAACAAATAGCAGCTCTTTTGGCTTGGGTAAGAATATTTTTTAGGTAACACGGTGATTATCTTAGGTATCTTGGTCTCAGGTAAGTATCCCTGGAGCTTTATTCTAATGTAAACAGCCCTTAAAAATTTATAAAATTATTTATTACAAAAATATGTGGTGTTGGTTGTAATAAATTTCTGATCAGTAAGTTATCAGAAGTAAGTTGTTTCCTTAATTTTTATGTGCATAACTTCAGGCTTGTGCTGTTTCATCTTTAGAACTAAGGTGCCACTTATCTCGTGTTCTGGCATTATAGGTATTTAAACTCCTTTCTGTCTCCTCCTTAACAGTGCATTTTAATTGGTCTGAAGAGAGTATTGAAGTTGGACTCATAACATCAAGTTAAGACTTGGAACGAAAGTAACAAAGTTACTCCTATCCTACAAACCAGTATTTCTTAGCATTATCGGTCTTCTCTTTCAGAAATAGAGACGGAAGTCTATTGATTTAAAAATATTATCTCTTTCCATAGTTACTGTGTTTTATTATTCATGTTCTTTCATGGTTTGCTTTCTTTTTAAACCCCCCCCCCCAATAAAAATATGTTAAGCAATTGCTTTTTTTAGCTCTAAGCAGTTCTCCAGACTGACTAGTACCTTCTAAAAATGTGGAACTTTTGTTTGCTGAACTCTGCAAAAGAGGAGAATTTAAAGCATTATTAGTTCTTGTTGCACCAACAAAAAGAAGAACTCTACTTTTTGTTTAGAATAGGGAGTATGCATCATATTAAGAGATTCATCATAATGGTGGTCTGTCTGCTTCATGGTGGTCTATAAATGATTATTACAAATGTATTGGACAGTGTTGGGAATTAACCTGAGGCCCCAAAATTCAAACATCCCTTGTATCTCAGCTATAATAAAGTAGAAGAAAAGCTGTTATGAAGAAAGCTTGAGTTTAATTATTTTGACGTGTGGATTGTCTTTATGTATTTTGTACCTAGAAAGAACTTGGATGTGTTTAGAAATATACTAGAAACTGAAAATTTAATTTATTTTTTTTCTTTCATCTTAAAGGTAGCCTTGGAGGTTTGGCAGGCCTAGGTAGCCTGGGCTTAAATGCATCAAACTTTTCAGAGCTACAAAGTCAGATGCAACGACAACTTATATCCAACCCAGAAATGATGGTTCAGATAATGGAAAATCCATTTGTTCAGAGCATGCTTTCAAATCCTGACCTGATGAGGCAGTTAATTATGGCTAACCCTCAAATGCAGCAACTGATACAGAGAAATCCAGAGATCAATCACATGCTGAATAATCCAGATATAATGAGGCAGGTATGTAGAAAGGTCTCGAAGTTCGTGACCTTTGATTATACTGTAACTGTGAACAAAAAAGCAAGAACTGGACATTATATGAGTGCCAAAATATTGTTGAGGAATTGAGGCTTGTTAGACAATCTGTAGAAGGTCACTATAGGAAATAGATGCTTTTATTTCTAGCTGCTGGTACTTTACATGAGCTGATAGATAAGTAAGAAAAAAAAAAAAAGGCAGCATAATTTTTAAAGAGGCTGAAGACTGTATAATCATATCTTCTGAGTTGAGAGTTGGATGCTGCTTGAAATCTTCTGTTGTCTAGTCAACAGTGAGTTTACTATAAAGTAACAATTGTAAAAAATACTGCTTATTTCCAGTTTATGTAACTGTGGGTACTTCTCATTGCTTCCAAAGTTGTGTGTTATGTAAGATATGCCTTATATGGCAGAGGGCATCAAGAAACAAATGGAGACTTTGGAAAATTAAGTTATTTATTTTTCAAGTTTGTTATAAGCTGCATGCTGTACTGATGTTGGAAATTGTAGGAATTTATTGTGTTGAGAAGATACAAGAAAGAATAGGATTTAAGGGTTTTTTCTTCTGTTTAGTCCATGCTTTCTGACTCAGCCAGCATACTGACAGTTGTGGCAGAATGTTGGCTAAATATCAAATGCTATCGACTCCCTTCCCACCAAGATGACATCTTGATTTGGCTTTAATCCTAATTTCAAATGGAGTTAGACATTAGTAACTGAGATACTGTTAAATGCTGACATTTTCACTTTAGAACGGATTATTTTTATTAATACAAATTAAATGTTCTACTTGATTAGACACTAGAACTTGCTAGAAACCCTGCAATGATGCAGGAAATGATGCGAAACCAAGACCGAGCCTTGAGTAACCTTGAAAGTATACCAGGTGGATACAATGCCTTGCGACGTATGTATACAGATATTCAGGAGCCTATGTTGAATGCAGCACAGGAACAGGTGAGAAATGATTGTAGGGACCACTGAAAGTAAATGGGTTTTGTTTGCTTCCCCTCCCTCCCCCAAATAAATAATGTAACTTCTCAAATATATACTTGACAAAACTTAATTTCTTGAAGCTTGAAGTCAATGTGTGGCTTGTTCCTATGCTCTTTAAACCTGAAAGAATAAAGATTGTTTTATGAGTTTCATAAGTTATTTTAATGTTAAGAATTTTTTGTTATATATATTCTAAATGTATTTATTTATATTTCTTGAACTTATAAAATTCCAGAGGTCCAAGAAAAATTGTGTGTGTTTAGTAATTTGGAACCTAAGGTGGGAAGAAAAAAGGCTTTGAAATTTTTCAAAGTTGGAAACCACTATGCAAGATATAATCTTACTGTGATTGAAGTACTAGTAGCAAATGCTGTGTTTAAAACAAGGTGTGATTTACTTACAATTTTTTGTTGTTGTAGATAACATCTCTTTCAAAGTTGGTATCTTTTCAGAATATTTGCAATAGCTTATTTTAGGATGGTGATTATAAGTGATTAAGAGCCACTGACATTTATCTTCATGTGTAATTTTGGAAAGGTAACCATTTCTAGCAGACTTTAAAATACTTGACTAATAGATGATAAGTGTTTGTTTCTCCTTCTGTAGTTTGGAGGTAACCCATTTGCTTCCTTAGTAAGCAATGCATCATCAGGAGGGGACACTCAGCCATCTCGTACAGAAAATAGAGATCCTTTACCAAATCCCTGGGCTTCCCAGTCCAGCTCTCAGAGTTCTACAAGTACCAGCACCAGTGGTGAGAGGAGTGGCAGTAGTAATGTCGGAAATAGCACCTCTGCCAGTATGGGACAGAGCTCAACTATACAAAATTTGGGACTTGGACTAGGAGGTGTGTCTGTTACTGCAGTTGTATATATATATTTACAAATATTCAGGAGTTTGTTGAATTTATTCTGTTATTAGAAAGAGATGTTTTCATTCACAGTTTGTATTGCTGTTTATTTCCATAGAACATTTTACTAGTATCAAAGTCCTCTGTAGAAAACAAACATGACAAGTAAACCAAGAGTACTAACAATACTTGTGTACTGCCTTAAAATAACAAAAGTAGGGAATCTGTAGATGATTTTTTTTTTTTCCTGTTTGGAGACAAACAGGAAAACAGCTAATAATGTAGATGCTTAGTGGGACTGCTTGTTGGATATGACCTCTGGCTTAACTTGTTTCTAGGGCAGTTGCATCTGTGTAAGCAGAACCACACTGAGATGTATTTAAGGAGCTAAAGCTCATTTAAAAAAACTCCACAGAAACACACAGTTGTATCCCAATTATAGGCAGTCTAATAAATTTGATTATAATAAAGATTTTTACTATAGCGACCTTTTCCTTTTTTAAAGTTGGTATGTTCAACACACCAGGAATGCAGAGCTTGTTACAACAGATAACAGAAAATCCACAACTTATGCAAAATATGTTGTCTGCACCCTATATGAGAAGCATGATGCAGTCATTGAGCCAGAATCCTGATCTTGCAGTACAGGTAAATGCTTTTGGTGTAGCAATGTGTGTGTGCACTGAAGTGAAAAAAGGAATTGATTTTGATACAGTTATATTTTCACTACAGAGTAATTGTGCCAACTTCTCAACAATAACTTGTCTGTTGTGAATGGTCCAGTTTTTAAAGTATGTTAATGCCTGACTTATTTATTACCTAGTTACCTTTAGCAATCCATTGCAGTAAACTTCTTCAATTTGTAGTTGGCAATCATGTTAGGCATTCTCTTGTAACAACATGTAAGTTTGTATATGTTTCATACAGCCCTAAACTTTTGTGGCCTAGCATAAGAACTGGTAAAAAAAAAAAAAAGCTTTTATTATAAATTAAGGTAGATCTGCTAGTAAAGGAATACCCACCCAAGCTTGAGAGGACAGAAGTGGAGAGGAAGAAGTTGGTGCCATATCTAGCTGTTATTTCAGTTTTCATTTTTCATCTCTGATCCTTGCTCACAATAAAAATGCTAATACTTACTGCTGTTTTATGAATGGTATTGTCGAAGTACTTTCCAATTTTACTTACAGCAGTAATGTATCAGTTCAGTATTTGAATTTGGATAATATTATCTTTAGTATATTAAGCACTTAATGGGAAAATATCCCAGGCTTTTTACAGACATTGTTTACAGGGAAGCCATCACTTCTGTTGTGGAGGCTGACCAGAAAAGGCTTTCTGGTTACATAAATGAGGTTGCTTTGGCAAGGATTTGACAAGGATTCATGTAAAAAGTTTAATACCCACCCCTTCCAATGCCACAAAGAAAACCCAACCCACAACAAAAAAGACACCCAAAAATACCAAACAAAACAAAAAACCAAAACAGCTCCATGCCACCAATTAGTTCAGTCCATTCTCAAACTGGTAGTTCATTGTTTCAGAACAAGTTTTGGCCAAAGGAGAAGTGGGAGATAATTACTCTGAGGTTTTAATAAACTATTTTCTAGTTCTCAAATTAATATGAGGTAAATAGATGTCTTAAAATCCACTCTAGTATTTACTTTTTTATCTACTGCTCAATCTATGATGTTAAATATTCTTGTCCCATAGATGATGTTGAATAATCCTTTATTTGCTGGAAATCCTCAACTTCAGGAGCAAATGAGACAACAGCTTCCTACTTTCCTTCAACAAGTAAGATAAGATACTAAGTGTTGTTAATAAATGTCTGAAATTCAGTTAGTTGTGTTGTCTCTTGATAATTAAATGCTTGATTTATCTCTCCATCCCTTCCAAAAGTTAAATCTGGCTTTTAGTGGATGTTTTAGTTGGTGACTAGCACAACTGCTTTGATTTGCTGTTGTGTCTTTACTTAGAAGAAATCACACAATTGTAGAATGGTTGGGTTGGAAGGGACCTTGAAGATCCTCTAGTTTCAACCCCCCTGCATCAGCAGGGACACCTTCCACTAGACCAGGTTTCTCAGAGCCCTGTCCAACCTGCCCTTGAACATTCCCAGGGAGGGGGCTTCCACAACTTCTCTGGACAACCTGTTCCAGTGTCTCACCACCCTCACACTGAAGAATTTCTTCCTAATGTCTAACCTAAATCCACCCTATTTCAACTTAAAACTGTTGCCCCTTGTCTTATCACTACATGTCCTTGTAAAAGGACCCTCTCAAGCTTTGCTGTAGGTCCCCTTCGGGCACTGGAAGGCTGCTATAAGGTCTTCCTGGAGGCTTCTCTTCTCCAGGCTGAACAACCCCAACTCTCTCAGACTGTCTTCATAGGAGAAGTGCTCCAGCCTTCTGATCATTTTTGTGGCCATTCTCTGGACTTGCTCCATGAGCTCCATGTCCTTCCTGTGTTGGGGGCTTCAGGACTGGACACAGTATTTCAGGTGGGATCTCACGAGAGTGGAGTAGAGGGGGAGAATCACCTCCCTCAACCTCCTGGCCATGCTTCTTTTGATGCAGCCCAGGATATGGGGCTGTTCTCAATCCATTCTTCACCCAGCCTGTATTTGTGCTTGGGATTGCCCTGACCCAGGTGCATTTGGCCTTGGAATCTCCCACAAGGACAAAGGCTACCGATCCAGAGATTTCTCCTAATTGCCTATAGAATAATTAATCAGTGCTTACATCCTGGTTGGGCAATCAATAGTAGACACCCACTATGACATCATCTGTGTTTTCCATCCCCCTAATCCTCACCCAGATGCTCTTAATGCTTTTGTATCTCTTTCCATAAACCAGGGAGTTTATCTGCACAGCTAGTTCTCTGCTGTCTTTTCCATGTTAGGTCAGGTGATAAACATTAGCAGGTGAAGTAAACTGGAGAAATACCTGGGTGTTCTCAGAATGTTGATAGTGTCACAGCCCATACTTCCTAGCTCATCTCTTGCTATTTTATTATGGGATTGAGTGATGGAAACTATGAAATGTTCTTCTGTATTATCAAGAAAGCACTTGAAATAAATGGCCAGTTGCTCAGCACAACTAAGAAAACACATTTGTGAGCTACCCTTTCTATTTCTTTTATATAAGTTTTACCCAGAATTGCTGCTACTCTGTAGCTGGAATTCAAAACATTAATAGAGATTTAAGTCACCTAAGTGCTCAGAGGGTCAGTTTTCTGTAAAATCAACTCTAAATATCAGACAGTAAGTCATAGCTTAAAGGTTATTTTCTTAATCACAGCAGCTTACTTCAGTGCATCTAAAATGCTTTCCTTCTTTAAAGATTTGGATTAACTTTACCAGCTATACATTTAGTCATTCTCCTCTGACTTAAAGCTATCATGAAGATACAAATCTGAGAGACAAATGGAGAGTGTTTAAAAACTTGCTGTGCTCAATCTCATTACATACCCATATTTCAGGGCAGAATCAACATTTGATCTTTGTGCCCTATTGTGCTCTTCTGTTTTGCACCAGAGGAAGCTTAACCTTAATTTGCGCAGTTCTTTGAATAAAAAAATGGTTTTTTCAGTACAAGGAATTTGGTCTAGTTACCAAGTAGAGACTGCTGAGATAGATCAGCCTTTCTGCTAGTTGAAGCAAGTCTGGCTACCAAGGCTTCTAATTGAAACAAATATCTTGTTGCTTACGTGTGGCATCAATAAACAGACATGAGCATAAGCCATTAGCTTTTGTTTTGTATCTAAAACAGTCTGCTTTTTAGGCATTTAATTTCAGAAATCAAAAGTATGTCTTTTTCTTACAATGCAAAAGTCAGGTTTTAGTTGAATTTGCAGTAGAGTGAGGGTCCTTGAATATTACACGTTTGCTAGTATGTCTTGCAGAGTATTTGTATGTCTATCGGTGTCGATGGCACTACAGATATGAACACATGCACAAATTATCATGATCAAATAGCTGTGGTCTGGATTTAGCTAGAAAACACTGTTTTATAACTTTCTGTATTAGATACCTACTAGTCATGTTTCACTATTCAGTCCTGTTTATCAGTAGTATGATATAGGAGACTTATTTAGAATTATGTTGAACTAATATATTTTTATGGCTTTGGAAGATGATTACGTCTACTAGAATAAGTAATGATAAGTACTTTTTCTTATGTTCTCCTTATTTAAAAGGAATTTAGAGAGCTTGTTGATCACCTCCTGTGAAAGTTTTATAAAAAAAAAAATAATCTGAAGGATTTAATGTAAACATTCAAATACAAAGTTGAGAAACAGCAAGTTCTGATAGGATATCAGATTCTATAAAACATCTAGTGATAAAGATCAACTTTGAATGCCTGTATATCATTCAATTATGAGTTTCTTTCTTGTTTTTAGATGCATAACCCTGACACGTTATCAGCTATGTCAAACCCTAGAGCAATGCAGGCTTTACTACAAATTCAGCAGGGCTTGCAGACACTAGCAACAGAAGCACCAGGACTTATACCAGGGTAAGAATTGGTCATATAAATTTGTACAAGAACTTTTCTCTTGTGTTTGGTTTGTGGTTTTTTTAAGCTTTTTGTCTTTCTTTTTAACATGTAGAGGTTTATCCAGTTTTTACAGACTGTTCCTCTTACATTTTTTAGTTTCACTAAACTTGTTTTAGAATCTGTCACACTTTTGTCTGCAATGCACTTTTAAGCAATGATGGTTATAGTCTTTGTTTTGGTGCTTTACTTAAGTTGTCATCCATTTCTTGACAGAATTTTTACTTAGTAATTATATATAATGGGAAGAGACATTGCAACTAAGCCATTTTCTATGTTAGTGATGTATCTGTCTTTGTCATTTGTGCAGATTCAATCCTGGTTTAAGTGGATTGGGAGGTACTGGAGCACCTACAGGGTCTGCTGTGCCTAGTTCTGTTTCCAGTGAAAATACAAGTCCAGCATCAGCGGCTACTGAACCTGATCACCAGCAGTTTGTCCAACAAATGTTGCAGGCACTTGCTGGTGCACATGCTCAGGTAAAGTAGATCACTGTATTCTAGTGGGGGGGCGGGGGTGGTTGTTTGGTTTGGGTGGTGGTTTTTTGGTTTGTTTTTTTTGGTGGCTTTTTTGTTTGTTTGTGTTTTTAAAATATTCTCCCCCAGTGTAAATCAACAGAATGCTTATAGTCAAAGGAAAGCAGAGGAAGCTTAAAAGTGATGTTCTAGCTGTGCAAATAAATGCTGGAAAAAACATCACATTTGAGTAAAAGCATCCTCTGCATGGTTTATTGTTGTACATCTATCTTCATACTCTTGAGTTTCTGAAATGCCTGGAAAGAAGCAGATTAAGGTGTTAAAGGGAAGACTGGTTCCCTGGCAAGTGAAATGTGAGCTCAGACAAGAAAATAAGTTTACTGAACATCATTATATTTGCGATCACTCGCAGAGGTGAACAGCTCTGGTGCAGGCACGTCTGCATCAAGGTAGAATATCAGTGAATAAGGGGGCTTTTTCCGAGCTTTCTAGAACTGGGAACAAGCCTGGGCAGCTTGTCAGAGGGCTGCGGAGGAGGCATGGGCAGAGCTCACCCCCACTCTCCCACTCCCTGGGGAAGAGGAATGAGAGACCCAGGAACCCAGAAAACAGGGTGTGGCACATCAGAAAGGCAGTTTGCGCAGACAGGGCAAACTTGGAGGGTGCTCCTTCGAAGGGCTCAGCTCCAACGTAGTCTGCAAGAGTCAAGGCTACTCAACTAACGAGGCAAAGTCAGAGCACTCCGCAGAGAGCAAAGGCTGCAGTTCTGGCTGGGGGTTCTACACCATCCGTCCTGGTGGTGATTGATGCCTCGACTCAGAGCTGTTAAAGAGAGAGGATACTGTACAAACTGCAGGCTGTGGGAAGTACCTGGACCTCTTGTATGGGGCAGGGTTAAGTGGGAAACCATCATGCATCAGGTGTGCCCAGGTAGAGGACCTCCTGCAGCAGGTGGATGAGCTGAAGGAAACTGTGAAAAGGCTGTGTAACATTCGGGAGGTAGAAAAGGAGATAGATAGCTGGATCCAGGCCCAGGCTGCGGTAAAACCACAGCCTGTGGTCACACAACTAATAAATGCCCCACCAGCACACAGAGAAAGGAGAGAGGCCAAGAAAGAATAAGAACGGAAGATTCCAAAGATAAAAACCAGCAAGAAGAGGCTTCCCACAAAATCTGAGGTGCCCCTGCAAAACCATCTTAAAAGTTTTGCAGACTGGAGAGGAAAAAAAACAGGCTGCATCAGGTAAGCTGCTGGAGCCGAACAAGGCAGCCCAACCGGTTCACTGTATATTGAGAAGTGCAAACAAGAGGAAGCAACGAGTGATAGTGGTGGGAGACTCTCATCTGAGAGGCACCCATTTGCTGACCAGACCCACTCTCTAGAGAGATCTGTTGCTTGCCAGGGGCTCGCATAAGGGACGTTGCTGAAAGACTACCTGAACTTGTATGTCCCACTGACTACTATGCACTCCTGCTGTTTCATGTGGGTTCCAGTGATATAACAAGGAGCAATCTGAAGACCATGAAGGATTACAGAGTCCTGGGAGTGGCAGTGAAAGACTCTGAAGTCTTCTCATTGATCCTCCTGGTCAAAGAGAATGGGCTTGAAAGGGCAAATCACACTGGGAAAATCAGTAAATGGTTACGGGAGTGGTGCCACAGCCAGGGCTTTGGCTTCCTAGACCATGGGACTCGCTTTGAGAAATCTGGTCTCCTATGGGCTGATGGGGTTCATCTTTCAGGGAAGGGGGTGAGTATCTTTGGCAATAGGCTTGTCAATCTGGTAAGGAGGGCTTTAAGCTAGAGTTGCCGGTGGAGGAGATCCTCCATCCGTCCCACTGCCACCTCTTTGAGGCCATTTTGAGTAAGAGATGCCCTGAAGAAGGATCACAGGACAGCAGGATAATACCTGAAATGAAAGATAATGGAATCCCAGGCAATGAGGCAGCTTCAATGGGGGCCCAACTTAAATGCCTCTATGTAAATGTACACAGCATGGGAAATAAGCAGGAGGAGCTGAAAATGTGTGCAGGCCTGCAGGGCTATGATATTATTGGCATCACTGAGACATGGTGGGACAACTCCTATGACTAGAACGTGGGAATGGATGGATATAAGCTCTTTAGGAGGGACAGGCAGGAGAGAAGAGGAGGGCGTGTTGCCCTCTACATCAACGACCAGCTGGAGTCCATGGAGCTCCACCTGGGAATGGATGAGGAGCTGACAGAGAGCTTATGGGTCACGGTTAAAGGGAAGACAGGGCTTGGTGATACTACAGTGGGAGTCTGCTATAGGCCACCTGACCAGGATGAGGCCCTCTACAGGCTGATAGATGCAGCTTCCCATTCACAGGCCATGATCCTCATGGGGGATTTCAACCACCCTGACATCTGCTGGAGGGACAACACAGCAAGGCACCAGCAATCCAGGAGGTTCCTGGAATGCATTGATGACAACATCCTTTTCCAAGTGATAGAAGAGCCAACTATGAAAGGTGCTATGCTGCACTTGTTCTTGCCAACGAGCATGGCCTGGTGGACAATGTGAATCTTAAAGGCAGCCTTGGCTGCAGTGACCATGAGATGGTGGAATTCAGGATCTGTAGAGCAACAAGGAGGGTCCACAGCAAGCTCGCTACCCTGGATTTCAGGAGAGCAGATTTCACCCTCTTCAGGAATCTGCTTGGTGGGGTACCAGAGGATAAAGTCCTGGAGGGGAAAGGAGCCCAAGAAAGCTGGTCAATATTCAAGGATCACCTCCTCTAAGCCCAGGAGCAATGCATCCCAAGAAAGAGGAAGGCAGGCAAGAATGCCTGGAGACCTGCATGGATGAACAAAGAGCTCCTGGACACTCTTAGATGAAAAATGAAAGTCTACAGAGGGTGGAAGCAGGGACAGGTAGCCTGGTAGAAATACAAAGAAGTTGTCCGAGAAGCCAGGGATCAGGTTAGGAAAGCTAAAGCCCAGATAGAGTTAAACTTGGCCTTGGAACATCAAGGGTAATAAGAAGGGTTTCTACAGATGCATCAATGATAAGTGGCAGAACAGTGAAAATCTGGGCCCTCTCCAGAAGGAAACAGGAGACCTCATTATGCAGGATATTGAGAAGGCTAAGGTACTGAATGAATTATTTGCCTCAGTCTTCACCAGTAAGTGCTCTGGCCACACTGTCTAAGTCACAGAAGGCAAAGGCAGAGACTGGGAATAAGTAGGATCTGCCCACTGTAGGAGAAGAGCAGGTTTGAGACCATCTAAAGAACCTGAAAGTGCACAAGTCCATGGGACCTGACAAGATCAATCCGTGGCTCCTAGGGGAGCTGGCAGATGAAGTTGCAACGCCACTTTCCATCATATTTGAAAAGTCATGGCAATCTGGTGGAGTTCCCACTGATTGGATAAGGGGAAACATTACCCTCATTTTCAGAAAGGGAAGGAAAGAAGACCCAGGGAATTACAGGCCAGTCAGTCTCATCTCTGTGCCCAGTAAGATCATGGAGCAGATCCTCCTGAAGGCTTTGCTAAGGCACATGGAAAACGTGGAGGTGGTTGGTGGCAGCCAGTATGGCTTCACCAAGGGCAAATTATGCCTGACAAATTTGGTGTCAGTGGACAAAGGAAGAGCAACTGATTTAATCTATCTGGACTTGTGCAAAGCGTTCAACACGGTCCCGCATGACATCCTGGTCTAAAGATTGGAAGGATGTGGATTTGATGGGTGGACCACTTGGTGGATAAGGAACTGGCTGGACGGTTGCACTCAGAGAGTAGTGATCAATGGCTCGATGTCCAAATGGAGACCAGTCACAAGTTACATTTCTGAGGAGTCGGTACTGGGCCCAGTGCTGTTTAACAGCTTTGTCAGTGACATGGACAGTGGGATCAAGTGCACCCTCAGCAAGTTTGCTGACAACACCAAGCTGCGTGGTGTGGTTGACATGCTAGAGGGAAGGGATGCCATCCAGAGGGACCTTGACAGGCTTGAGAGGTGGGCCCATGCCAACCTCATGAAGCTCAACAAGGCCAAGTGCAAGGTCCTGCACCTGGGTCAGGGCAATCTCAAGCACAAATACAGGTTGGGCAGAGAATGCATTGAGAATAGCCTTGAGGAGAAGGACCTGGGGGTGCTGGTCGATGAGAAGCTTTACGTGAGTCAGCAATGTGCATTTGCAGCCCAGAAAGCCAACTGCATCCTGGGCTGCATCAAAAGAAGCATGGCCAGCAGGTTGAGGAAGGGGATTTTCCCCCTGTACTCTGCTCTTGTGAGACCCCACCTGGATTACTGTGTCCAGTTCTGGAGCCCTCAACACAGGAAGGACAGAGAGCTTTTGGAGTGAGTCCAGAGGAGGGCCACAAAAATGATCCAAGGGCTAGAGCACCTCTGCTATGAAGACAGTCTGAGAGAGTTGGGGTTGTTCAGCTTGGAGACGAGAATGCTCCAAGGAGACGTCATAGCAGCCTTCCACTACCTGAAAGGGGCCTACAGCAAAGCTGGGGAGTGATTGGACAAGGGGTAATGGTTTTAAGCTGGAAGAGGGTAGTTTTAGGTTAAACGTTAGGAAAAAATTCTTTAGTGTAAGGTTGGTGAGACACTGGAATAGGTTGCTCAGGGAGGTTGTGGATGCCCAGTCCCTAGACGTGTTCAAGGGCAGGTTGGACAGGGCTTTGAGAAACCTGGTCTAGTGGAAGGTGTCCCTGCCCATGCAGGGGGTTGGAACTAGATGATCTCTAAGGTCCCTTCCAACCCAACCATTCTTTGATTCTATGATCTGTCCTTTGTTTCTGTGTTGCTGGTTATTACTGTGTACCTGTGACAGTGTCTGTTTCATGCTTCACAGTAGTCAAGCTCAGGTTATTTGAGGCCTGAATTTGCAGCATGCTTTCCTGACATCCTTTAAATCCAGACTGCACAATGTATGCTGTGTTAACATACCAGGTGGGATTCAGGCTTTCTGGAGAACTCCAGAAGACAAGAAAAGGTAGCAGCTTTGCAGGTAAATGTAGGGTGGTAAGACTGGCTTTAAATGGGGCATACCCATAACAGTGGTGAAGTATCTCTAGAGTGCTGTGTGAAACAGTATCATTACGCTGTGGTACATAACCAGTGTAATGGAAGACTACTTGTAAAAGGGACAGTCCTGTTCTTGCCTCCTTTGTTGCCATAGAATAAGACAGTTCAGCTTGCTGATCAGACAGAGAAATGTTATTTTATGAAACCATGAAAAAATGGTGGTAGGCGTTATTGGTTTGGTTTATTGGTTTGGAAGTATATGCAGTTTTTATATACTGCTAGGAATTTCTCAATAGATGAAACTTTAAGTAGAACAAAAGTTTAAGTAGAACAAAGGGAAAATTGGCAGTAGCTGCAGAAATATTATGTTGATATGTAAACTGTCTCACTCATTTCAACAAGTGGCTTCTCAGCATTACTCTGACCCTATGTACCTGAAGCATATTATTTTCATATAATTTTTATGCTTCAAAAATACCTTTGAGTTGAAGATCATAAAACTGAAATTGTTGAGAATTTTCCCATTCAGTTTATGAGCAGTTTATTTGAGCAAGATCAACTCTTAAAGCACAGCTATCACTTTGTCTTAGGCTGAAGTTTTTCTAACTAGAATTTTGGTAATTTTGGTCATGAGTACTTGGAACATTAAAGAGGTAAGTTTTATGTCAAGGAAAAAAACGCCTACCACATTCACTGTTGCCAACAGTGAAATTCTCAAAATCCTGCTGTCCCACATTACTAGACTATTTTAATTTAAAAAAATAAAAATAATTTTTAAAAGTCTACATTCACATCTTTAAGAAACTTATTGGGACACATTTATCAGATTTAACTGTTTCATTTTTATCAAACAAGCAGTTCTAGTTAAAAAATGTCATGTAAGTGAAGATACTCTTAAAATTTGCATCTAATCTGACTTGTTTAATCCATAATTGTGAATAAAATTTGTCATATTCTAGTTTGGGGAACTTGAAAAAGATGCATTCAGAAATGAGTAAGGGAAAGAAGTGGTTCAGAACCAAATATGTTTAAATCCTGCACTTTGCCTAATGTGTGTTATGCTTTTATAGCTTGAGATTTTTCTTCTTAGCAGTTACAAAATCCAGAAGTTAGATTTCAGCAACAACTGGAGCAGCTGAATGCAATGGGCTTTTTGAACCATGAAGCAAACTTACAAGCTCTAATAGCAACAGGAGGAGATATCAGTGCAGCTATTGAAAGGCTGCTTGCCTCTCAGCCTTTGTAGCAGTGTTTAACTCAAAAAAATGTAATTTATTTTTGATAACAGTTCTTTAAAATAGTTGCTTTATTTCATTCTCACTCATACAATTGTATTGTTATAACTAACATCAGTTATGCATTTTAAGGTCAAGTGCAGTATTTTTCAAACAGGGAATTGATGCTTTTTTGTTCAGTTGTTGCATGCATCACTTCTGTTCTTAATTATTTCTTATTTTTTTTAAACAGTATCAGCTTTCACAATTGGTTGAGCAGGCTTTGTCTGACCTACAACTGTCCAATTTATTTACTACTAAACCATTAGCCTTCAGTAGTAATTTATGTAAGATACAAATTAAAAAGGAAAAATTTGAAGGCTATAATTTGTGAATACCAGTGCTGCTTATGGTGATTTTGGCATGTATTTTTTGCTAGCAAAATGCTGTTAGATTTATGCCACTTGAGTCATCTACCATTTTTGCTTTTATTTGTATGAAATATAAACATGACATATACAATGGAGACAGCTCATTTCTAGAAATGTACACGTTGCAATAAATTACATTATAAGTAAATAAAAAAGATCAGGGGAAAAAAAAGTGCTAAGACATGTTTTTTAGTGTATAATCTTCCAGCATCTTTGGTAAACATGTCAGAAAAAATGCTTAGGCAAGTTCATTTAAAATATAATAGAATTGCTGTTTTAGTTATATCTTCATATCTAGCCATAAAGAAACTTGCACTGTAACATTGTGTCATTGCAACATTGTTACAGATTATCTGTAAATTACCTTTGTGCAAATTCAAGGAGCACTGCTTTGTGCTCTGAAACTGTTTCTAAGGCATTTTGGCTTGTTCCATTGAGATTATAAAATGCATTATGATTTGCAATTGGAAACATTACTTTCAGCCATTGTCATGTGATACTCTAATTACTTTTAACCACCATGTAAAAAAATACTGTATATGAGTTTTTATTGGTATTTACCTCTTGTGCACAGGTAATAAAGAAATTTAAAAGTATTTAAGCATCTTGTTTAATTGTGTTTGCAATTGGTGTTTATCCAGTATTTAAGGTGACTGACCTTTCAGTGTTAGCTCTGGGATTATTTACAGACTTTAGGCTAAGATTAGCAAACAATACTTGGAGTATAAAGTAGAGAACAGAGAGGAAGGGTCATATGATACTGAAGACTATTTAGATAAAGTGCAAATAGTGAAATAAACCATTCTGATGTGTGTTACTAAATAGCATTTGCTTTTTATTGGTCTTTGGTGTCAGTGTAATTGTAAACATTCTGATTTAATTCCTGTATTGCATTAAACACTTCATCTGAATAATCTTTTCTTTTGGTACAAATATAAAGTCAGTTTGCTCTAAAAACATGGCTTGCAAATGGTTTAAACTTGCCAGACTTGACTCAAAATTGTCAATAAGTTAAATGAAACAAGTTTTTAATGGGATATAGAGGAGGATGTTGAACACATTTTATTTTACATACAATTAAATTAATAAAACTCTTGGCAAAGCCAGGTATGCATCTTTTACAGGGAGTAACTGTACTCTCAGAAGTTTTTGCTATCCAGTAATCTTGTCTCTTACTTCAGCAGTAAGTAAATAGATCAAATACTGCTGATGCACAGTACTGGGTAAAGTTCAAGAAAATCTCTTGGCTGGCCAGCTTCTTTGCTTCTGGATCAAAGTCTCATAGATACAGCAACATAGAGTATTAAACAAATAAATTAAAATAGAATCTCCTGGTGATTTGAGTTTTATATGATCAGAGCCTTTAAAAATAATTAAAGTTTGGGTAGGAAATTATTATTACTTTTGTTTCCTAGCCAATTATAGTAAATCTGAAAGGGACCAGACCTTCATAATGCCTTCTGTTTGGGTAGGTAGCTTTCACTACACTGAGTATGAGGCTGTGATAAGGTAGCGATAGTAAGTAGTTTCTGTACAATAATCACTACTTTTTCCCAATTAATTTCACAATTACTCTTAGGATCTTCAAAGTAACTAATTTGACTTGACCTTATAGTATGCCCTAAATTAATTTTTCCTCAAAAACGAGATCTCCAGTCATTCAGAAGGTATATCCTTCTAAGAATACAATCCATAACTTGCAAAAAGGCCAGTGTCAAATGGAAAGGGCAAAGCTGATGTAGGGAAGGGAGTGATTTTTGCCAAGCTTTACTAAGATACTAAAGTTCTGAATTTGACTTCCATGAATATTCTTTTGAGACAAGATCCAGTTCACATATGTAAATAAAACAGAGATGTGATATTTGAATTAAAATTCTATTAGAATTTAAGAAAAAGTAGAATTTAACCTAAACTACAATAAACCATTGAGCTAATTTACTACTTGATATACAATTGTTAATTTAAGTAATGTCAACTAGTAATAACAATTAGTAACAAGTAGCAGTAAAACACTGAGACATCTTTAGCGTAGGAGGAATTTTGGTTTTCTTGGAGAAGACCTTAATTGTTAAAAGCAGCATTAGGCAGAACAAGGTTTGTAGTAGGGGTAAAAATTTATTGTCTTTAATAATAAAAGATACATCACACTTGGTTTAATGGCATAATAGAATCTTTGTTTACACACTCTCTTGCCATTGTCTCTAGCCTTTTAGGTACTCACTTTTGAAAATGTCCAATTTCTTTTTGATTATACAGGTTTGATATTTAATATTACTGCCTGGCATTATGTCATGCAGCTGATTTCCTATCACTGTGTAATTTCCTGAATTATTTAGTTTTATTGTGTCTGGAAAAAAAGTAAGCATAAATCTGCATTTAATAGTGGGTATACTAGAAAAGCTCTTTGCTTGTAAAATGGTATACTGGGAAAATAGGAAGATTTCATTAAAAGCAAAGGTACCACAAGAGTGTGCCATTTCTTTAATTTTCATAGTGACTAAATTTGCATGACAATGTTAAAATAATAATCCATGTGCAACTGTATATGGGGATGATTATATTCAGGTCTGACTTGTAGAAGTTCACAAAGTCTTAGCACCCTGGTGAGGTTGGCAAGGACACTGTCTCGGTTTAGTGATCAGGGTGAACCAAAACACAGAGAACAGAACTGCTCTCTGTTACTCCCCTCCACCCTCCCAGGAGGAGATAAAAGGGGAATAAGGAAGAGACTTCAGGGTTGGACGTTAAAACTAGAACAGGTTTAATAGAACAGGGAAGGGATAGTAACATGTGGGATAATAATGAAAAATATACAAATGTATGCAAAACTCAATGTCAGTGGTCACTGATATGTGTCTGAAAGTCTCTTGTGGCAGAGCCAACTTGGAAAAAGGGACCAGGGCTCTTCCCAGCAACTGCTAGAGTTGAGTCCTGCAGAGTATATGGTGAGCTGAAGACAAAGAGCACCAGCCTCTCTCTGAGACGTCTGAGCGAAGGGAGGCAGGAAGGAAGAAGAGAGAAGGAAGGGATGGATTTTCCCACCTTCCTGTTTTTTATAGAGTATGGGAAGTAATACTGACCCCTTTGTGTTCTGCCCCCTGGATCCCTTGGGGTCCTAAACAATACCCTCTCTCTAGGTCCTTGTATTGATACCATAAAATTACCCTGTGCCCCCTCAAACCATAACAGACACAAATACAGAAGCTACAACTTGTTCAAAATCTGTCAGTGAGCCAGCAGTAGTGTCAGGAACAGAACTCCATCATTCAAGTTCCTTCCTTTTATACTTGTAGAAAAAAAAATACACTGCTTCTTACAAAGCTGTAGAATATTTAATCACTATGCCCCTCTCCATATTTGACAGAATGAAAAATAAAACTAAGAATTTCAATTCCTGTGTGACCCTTGATGTGATTTTCAAAAGCAGACTGCGCTCTGATTACTGGGCCCTTTGACCCATGCTAATAGCAATTTTAACCTCATAGGGAGAAGTGTTTAAACAGTAGTGATAGTTTTTGAAAATTTCATCTTATGTATCCTTTACAGTCATGATAGAAATATTAAGAGTGATAAACCATCTCTTAATATTGTAATCAATTAAAATATTGTGGGGAAATGAGTTGTTTTGATTAACTCAAGAAAATAAGCATTATTTCCTTAAGACATTTTTCTAGACTGACAGCAGGAAAAAATAAAGTATCTTTTTTTGAGAGACTTTTGAAATCAAATTTATAATGCAGTTAAGAATGTGATTTGAAAGTGAAGTCAAGCTAGCTCATCTCCTGCTAAAATCTCTATCTTACAGCATTTCTATATTAGCCACCATTCTTTCACTCCAATTAAATTCTAATATAGTGTAAGGAAGTGCCATGAGCATTTCCTTAATTTCTGAGAACAGCAGCAACTGAAAATATTTAGAAACTGATCCATCATCTATAAAATTATTATATTGATCTGCTCTCGATCCCCTCCCCCTCCCACCCAGGTAGGGAAGGAGAGAGAGAATTAGAAGAGAGACGCTCTGGATTGAAAACTAAACTACACAGCTTTAATTAAACACCAATGATATAAGAAAATATAGACAATTATATACAGATATGTTCAGGGATGTGCAAAATCCTCTTGCCTCCCTCCACCCCCAGCAACTCCAACAGCACTCTCCTGAGCTGCGAACAGTCCTGAAAAATTCTGGACTGCTGCTGGAGAAAGCAGAGAGTGATGAGGGTCAGGAGAGCTCGAGCCTGGGGGTTGACGGTGATGGATGGACGGAGTCCACCCTGGACGCCAGCCATGGATGGACAAGAAGGGAAGAAGAAGAAGTTAGGAAGTTGTCTTCTGTGATCTCTGACCTTCCTCTGAGCTTACGTAGATATATGGAATGGAATATCTCTGGCCAGTTTTGCTGTCTGTCTAACTCAGCTTCCTACGGGGGGTCATAGATCTCCCATAGCGTCTGAGCTGGCAAAGATGTGACCTTGAAGACCCAGCAGTTAGAAAAACATTCCAGCTGTTATCATTTCTAGCTGGAACACTTTGCTAGTTAAAAGAAAGCTTATTGAAGGAAAAAAAAAATCTGTGAAAGGAAAATTGGCTTCATCCTG